ACACACACACACACACACACACACACACACACTCGAACAACACCACAATCGGTATCTATTTAATTCCAGGTGGTCGGAAGGATGAGCTTGTTTATCCTAGGAATCGTTGTAGATAATTACCGTGACTACAAGACCTGTGGGAGCTAAATGATGGAGTGTTTGTTTACATCCGGGCATCTGGGGGTGAAATTCTCAAGGTTCACCGCGATACTGATACCTTTTCGCTCAGCTCGTACAGTAGGTGACACAGTGTGGGTAGGTGGGTGACACAGGTGTAGTGGTGACACTGGGTGTAGTAGGTGACACAGGTGTGGTGGTAGGTAGGGTGACACAGGTGTACAGGTGTAGGTGGTGGGTGTGTGGTGACACAGGTGTGTGGGTGACACAGGTGTGTTGTGGTGCACAGGTGTACAGGTGTAGTAGGTGACACAGGTGTAGTAGGTGACACAGGTGTGGTGGGTGACACAGGTGTAGGTGACACAGGTGTAGACAGGTGTGGGTGACACAGGTAGGTGTGGGTGTATTAGGTGACACAGACTAATAGGTGACACAGGTGTGTGGTGTAGTAGGTGACACAGACAATAGGTGACACAGGTGTGGTGGGTGACACAGACTAATAGGTGACACAGGTGTAGTGGTGACACAGACTAATAGGTGACACAGGTGTAGTGGGTGACACAGGTGTAGTGGGTGACACAGACTAATAGGTGACACAGGTGTAGTAGGTGACACAGTGGGTGACACAGGTGTAGTGGACTAATGGGTGACACAGGTGTGTGGGTGGACTAATAGTGACACAAGTAGTGGGTGACACAGGTGTAGTAGGTGACACAGGTGTAGTAGGTGGCACAGGTGTAGTAGGTGACACAGGTGTAGTAGGTGACACAGGTGTAGTAGGTGACACAGGTGTAGTAGGTGACACAGACTAATAGGTGACACAGGCCCAGAAGGTGACACACAATACCTCTTGACACCATCATTAACATAACTGCTCTTGTATATATAAACACTCGGCCAGACTTTTATGCTTGTTGTAATATTAATTTGGGTTAAGTATTATCATCCTCGGGTTTCCTTAAACACCTTAGAGGACAACAATAATGGGGCGTGAGGGGCGGGGCGGGGCGGGGCGGGGCGGGGCGGGGCGGGCGAGGTGGGGCGGGACGGAAAAATTTTATGTTACTGAGAAAATGTTGATTAGGCCTATATATATATTTACTCATGCATATGCAAATACACACGTTCACATAAGCATATATACATAAATAATAATAATGGTTGCCCCTCGTGTAACGAGGATGGCCGACCCAAGGGCCACCGAGGCTTGAATTTGTTTAAGGTGTAGAAGCTGTCGCCAACACAACAACCACACCCTAAGTTAACGAGCTGCATGACCCAGTGTCAAGGAATAGTCCCAGAAGACCGGACAACTCGCCAACTGCACTGGCTAACCATTACCCCGCAACACGATCCGCAAATCGATTAACATACAGGTTCCCAACTGCTGCTGGGTAGACAGAGGCAAATGGCTTAAAGAAACTTGCCCATACTTTCACCCTGCCAGGGGATCGAACCCGGGTCCATTCGCTTGCGAGGCGAGCATGCTCACCATAACATCACACACACACATTATACAGTAGTTTATAAGACTATAAGACTTTCACCAACCTGCAGAATATTCTAACCTTTCAACCATTTTCTTTCTCCCAAATTAAATACATTTTCCTTGGTCAGCACTTAACATTCTTACCAAGAGAGAGAGAGAGAGAGAGAGGAGGGGGGGGGGAGGTACCATCGTCCAGAGATAGGTATATACAGTAGATAGATAGGCAATATTTGAATGTTTTTCCTTTGCCAGTCAGTCAGTCACGCCTCGGTGCTGGAGAGGGTATTGTAATCTTTGTGTGTAATAATAATAATAATAATAATAATAATAATAATAATAATAATAATAATAATAATAATAATAATAATAATAATAATAATAATAATAATAATAATAATAATAATAATAATAATAATAATAATAATAATAATAATAATAATAATAATTACCGGTTTATTAACAAATACAACTGCCATAAGCTGAAGATATACAGACGGCATAAGTGGTACAGTTGGGGACTTTTCCGACTGGTACACTCAGCGTTGTCAATCCACTCCCTGTGAAACCCGAGATTATCAACTCGTGAATCCGTAAGGGGGGAGAAGGGGTCGAGGGATGATGGGGGCTGGTGTGTGAGGAGATGACATGGCTAGAAGAATGAGAGAGCGTTAAGGAATTACTTGTGTAGCGCTTATTATACGAGGATGTAAATACGTTGGACAAAACACAAATTATATGCGTAGAATATGTTACAGCACATTAGGGTGGCGTTCCCAGCTTGTGCTACAGTTCTGAGTGATTCTATGCATAGTTATGTTTTTTTTTTATACAACTCTCACGGAATCTAGAGGTGATAGGGAAGTAAAGTCGAAATGAAATTAAAAACATCGGAAAATTCATCAACTTGACGATTTATGTTGAAAGAAAAAGTTAATTCGGAGTGAAAAAAGTGTACAGTTGTGATAATGAAAGTGTGATGACATGAATAGTTGTGAGTTGTGACCTTCCCTACCCTGGCAATTTTGAGCCTGGTGGGCAGGACTTAGAGGCAGAGGGAAGGGAATAAAAATATGCAAAAAAGAAAATCTATCCTACTCTACCTAACCCTAACTTACCTAACCTAACCTAACCTAACCTAGCCTAAACTACCCTAACCTACCTTACCCTAACCTTAACCTAGCCTAATCTACCCTAACCAACCTTAACCTAGCCTAACGTAACCTAATCTTACCCTAACCTAATCTTACCCTACCTAACCTAACCTAACCTTCTTCCATCGTTCTCTAGCCACTGTTCTACATGGTACTTACTGTTGGTTCACAGAATAAAGCCTCGTGTCTCCCTCAGTAAGCGAAATAGACTTTAATAAAAAAATTCCTTCGAGCAATACAACTTGATACGTACAACGAGTTTATTCTTAATTTACTCTTAAAAAAATTATTTTCCGTGTTGTGTTTCCGTGTAAGAGGAGGAGGAGGAGGAGGAGGAGGAGGAGGAGGAAGAAGAAGAGGAAGAAAAGGAGGAGGAAGAAAAAGAAGAGTGGAGTAGGAAAAAGAGTAAGAAGAGGAAGAAGGGAAAGAGGAGGAGGAAGAGTGGCTCATAATAATTGGCGACCATATCTATTCTCCCTCTCTCGCCATCCTGAAGAAGACACCTTCCCGCCAAATGATATAAACAGAACGACATGACGATTTTGGCGCGAAATATTCTTAAAATTGTTTCTTCTATTACAAATAATAAAAAGTATCACCACAACATGCTGCTATCCGGAGATACATCAACTTTTTCGTTATTTACGTTATCAGTCGAGGTGAAATATTGTCGGTCTCAGAGGGAAGGATAGATCTTCAGATGTTTTTTTTTCTCGCCAAATGTTTCAGCTGACGACAATTTTTGGGCGGGAAACACCCTTATATATATACAACCTCCCGCCAAAATACACTCGTGGGGAGGGGGAAGTATATAGATAAGTGTACAATATATTAGATGTTTTCCCGCCTACTGTTTCAGCTGACAATCTTTGGCGGGAAAAGAGACCTGCGGCGCGAGTGAGGGCGAAGCAAACAAAGCTAATCACATCAGCATTCAGATCAAGTAACAAACGTGGGAATAAACCGTACCTTCTCCCGCGTTATTGTTGTTGTTATTGTTGCTGCTGTTGTTGTTGTATTGTTGTTGTTATTGTTGTTGTTTAATGTTGTTTCTTGGTCGAATTGACTGTTTACCATCGATGTAAATTGTTTGTATACCAGTACTGTCTGTGTACATTGTTTGTATACCTGCATATGCTCTTATTATCAGTGGGACCAACTTTGAAAAAGCTTATTACCTGTGGGGCTAATTAGGATTGGACCCCAGTACCTGAAGGACCAATTAGAGCTGACACCCATTACCCGATGGACCAATTAGAACACCCATTAGTACTAAAACCCATTAGCTGTGAGAGAACCATTAGAACTGAAACCCATTAGGACTAAAACCCATTAGCTGTGTAGAGAGCCATTAGGAGCGAGCACCCATGATTACTAAGACCCATTAGCGAGCGCCCATCTAACTAGTGACCCCCTTCAGTATGTGCCGCCAGCCTGATGGCCAACAGTGACGGTCATGATGAGAGAGAGAGAGAGAGAGAGAGAGAGAGAGAGAGAGTTTAGTGAAAATAACCACATTACCGCAAACAGCAAACAAACAAACAATGACAAACAAGAAAATCGGAGTGATCAGTACAACAAATTTAACATATTAGGAAAGCTCTTAATCCGTCCCATAATCTGTGTATTTATGCTCCCCTGGTCCAGTTACCTCACTAGATAAACAAACCCTCCCATATTGGCAACACTGTAATACATGACGTGTTGAGACGTGTGTGGGACGGACGGACGGACGGACGGAGGGACAAAAATACTGAGGAGGAAGGAAAGGGGGGAGAGGAGGAAGGAAAGGGGGGAGAGGGGGAGGGAGAGGAAGGGGGGAGAGGGGGAGAGAGGGGTGAGTATATAAAATTTTGGGAGACTTGAGTTTTTTTTAAGTGAATTTTCGTTTAAGAGATAAGTGTAGTGTACTAATCTATCTCCTGCCCTTGCCCCCTGCCTCTTGCCCCCTGTCTAATGCCCCATCTTTTGCCCCTCCACTCACTCCCCTGACTTAACTCCCACCCCCAACCAGAGGGTCGTCACTGCCCCCTTTCACACCACACTCATCCCCCCCAACTAAGTGGCCTCTCTAACACCATATAATAAAGATTCAAGGTTCAGGTTAAGGTGGGTGTGGGTGTGGGTGTGGGTGTGGGGAAACCGTGCAGGGACAGGGGGTGGAGGGGTGCAGGAGGGGGGGAGGGGGGTAGATGTGGGTTATATATGGCGGGCGGTGGGTGAGAGGCGCTCACTGTCCCAGCAGCTACCGTCACGATCTCACCGTTCCTCCTCTCACTCCACGCCATGTACCGTCACATCTGGACAGCCCTCATGGTGGGCGTGGTCATCGTGAGCGTGTTTCAGGTGAGCGTGACTCAGGCCAAGCCCGACCCCAACCAGTTGGCTGCCATGGCTGACGCCCTCAAGTACCTGCAGGAACTGGACAAGTACTACTCCCAGGTATCACGACCCAGGTATGTGCCACGTTTCCTTGATGACCTCACCTTACCTTAATGAGTCTTGCCCTACCCTGCCCTGCCCCCGCCTGTGTCACCCCTCCCTTACCCTTCCATACCCTCCCACCTGTGTCACCTCTCCCCTACCCTCCCATACCCACCAATTTGCCCACCCCTAACCCATACTGGCCCATTCCTCTCCCATCCCTACCCAGTTTCTGTTCCTCATCACTCAATATTGCCCATGGTACGACTATTGCCACTTCTGTCTTGTCTTACACCACGAGTACGACCTACGACTTCTATCCGTTGTTTTCTTTCCTTAAGACTTTTGTCCACTTGAAATTACGACCTTACCCTATCTACGACCACTCTCTGAGGCTGCACGACCTGATCATGGTGACGACTAACCTCTGACCCTTTTAGTTGTACGACCTAATCTTAGATGCACTATACGCCCTCTTTTTGATTACGACCTGTACTCTCAACAATAAGAGTACGACCTTATCCATACGACTCTTTTCCTCTCTTTTAAGTGTACGACCCATTCTACGACCTTACACTTGGCTCGATTTTTTTGGCCCTATCTACGACCACTTTCATCCTTTTTATCACGTGGTCGATTTTTTTTAATTACTTTCAAGTTTGGTTAAAGTCATTTCATGTTTGCCGTAAGATAAAATTAGAGAAGTTTCCCCTCCAAAAAGGAAAAAAATTATCTTCATTACGTCACAATTATTTTCTACCAATGAGCGTCGTTTTTTTACCGTTTAACTTCATTACGTCAAGACTATACCACTAATAGGCACCGCTCTTGACAAGTGGTCTTCTTTACGTCACATCCATTCCTCCAATCAACGTCGATTCTGAATGTTTTTCTTACATCACAAACAAAATTTCACTACTATTCCACCAATTAACGTCGATCTACACCAGTCCTTTTATTATATCACAAATTATCCACCAATCAGCGTCGATCTTCATCATCCCTTTATTAAATCACAACTTATCCACCAATCACCGTCTATCTTCACTAATTTTCTAAATTACGTCATAACCAGACTACCAATCAGCATCCAACCTGACAATTTATACCCATCACATCATAAAGTACTCAGCCAATCACAGTCTCTTTTCCATATATCTACTCACTGCGTCACAATTCATTCAGCCAATCAGTGTCGATTTATTTAGTTTTTTTTTTCTCATCACAGAAAACTTTAGTACTTTTTTCCGGTTTTAATTTTATTTAATATCTTTTTTTAACTTTTAAATTATACAAGTTACCGTGAGAGAGAGAGAGAGAGAGAGAGAGAGAGAGAGAGAGAGAGAGAGAGAGAGAGAGAGAGAGTCCCAGGAACCAAACCATAGAGACACAGCTTCATGTTTACTGACGAAGGAGTAACGCGTGATGCTAGTGTGATCTGTCGGGCACAAGAAGGTATTGACAGACATAACACAATGTTCAACTGGTGATAACTGTGTGTGTGTGTGTGTGTTCAAAGTTCTGTTTCCTCCTTATAACTTCTAAAATAAGAGAGATGAGTGAAATGAGTCGTCATGTCCACTAAAGATGGTGTTTGTTAGTATGACGAGAGAGGAAGGAAGATAATGAATAATGGGGGTCAGTAGTTACATCTCGTCTCGGTCCTCATATTACAGGGTTATTAAGTTAATGGGTCACTAATGGTTGAGTTACGCGGGAACACAATAAGAGTGACGCGTATTAGAACTGGTAGCTGTTTCGTCTGCCACATTCATAAAGGTGTGGCAGTTTTAATGAGTAAATATGGGTTGTTTTGCTTCTTCTTTTGTATTATATTTGACGACAGACACACACACACACACACACACACACACACACACACACACACACACACACACACACACACACACACACATATCAAAGGGTCTATATTTTTTAAGTGGAAAAAAATAGCGAGATGTTAGGAACCAAGTGAGAGAAAAAAAATTAAATCTTTAATTACGTTGTAACACTGGGAGGCGACCTTTGTGGTGCTGGGTCCACCTGAGACCATTACGACACTTTAACACAGTGATGTCATGGTCGGCTATCATCCCCTACTACTACTACTACTACTACTACTACTACTACTACTACTACTACTACTTTTTAATTTTTCATTATGGCCTTCAGCCTCCCCCAATAGCCACACCTTCGCCGCCATTTTATTACCTTAAAATTAAATATCCTAATACATAAGTCGCTATCGTAGCTGTGTTGAGTTAGTTGAGCCGCAGATCTATGCAGCATTCAGTGACTGTTGCCTCATAGTCAATATCTGCAACTGTTGTCGGCTTTGGGGCCGATGCTCTCGTTCCCCTGAAGCAAAGCAATGCAGACTGAAGCAGAGAGGGCAGTCAACATCTCAACCAGGCTGTAACGTGGCTTCTGCTACATCTTGCACTTGGTCCCATCCCGACAGAGGTTCTGAACACCAGAAGAGTGAAGCTGTCTTGATCTACATTCAGAATTCTCTCCCCATACGCCCTAATCTTGTTGTTCTCGTTCCTCTTGTGTACAACCTCAAGACACAAGTTACGGTGATATGCGGCCATGGGGTCGAATATCCTGACATCAAAGAAGGGTCGCTGTCCCCGCGTCCAGAATCCTCGAGCACTGACGTCAACACGGGCTTCGTTGGATGTGTTTGAAGTCCTGTGATGGAAATTCTCACCGTCCAATGGAAGGAGGGTCGTTTCTTCCCTGACATCGTGACAGATTTCCTTCAACATATTTGCTGTGAGATCCCTTACTTCGTCATGCCTCATGCATATGAAGCCCCCCTTCCTTGCACACCATGGCGTGATCGATGTCATAGGAAGAGCCACACACGCATTGGGAGGGCAAACCTTCTACTGGCCTACCGTACCTTACTACTACTACTACTACTACTACTACTACTACTACTACAACCTATGTACGCGTATGGCCAAACTATCAATTTGTGTCATCTTTTCACAATACCTGAATGGAAGGAATAAAGTATTTATCCACCTCTATGAAATGTAAGCGTTGTCAACAAGTGGTGGTTGGTGGGTGGGTGGGTTGGGTGTGGGTGAGTGGGCTGGATGGATAAATGGTAGGGTGGGTTGGGTGGGTTGGGTGGATAATAGCACACCTTGGGGTCAGAGAGTCTTCTGTGTTGACGTTGAGTAAGTGAGAGACACACACACACACACACACACACGGGGCTTGGCTTGAGGGGGAACTTCACGTCTTTTGGGTGAAGCCCCTCTCCTACCTAATGTGTGAATGTCATGACGAAGCTAATTACCTTACCTGTTACTTCCATACCTTAATATATACATACATACATACATACATACATACCTACATACATACATGCATACATACATACATACATACATACATACTGTACATACATATATACATACATGCATACATAGCCAGTATATATGGTAATAGTTTACTTACGTTGTGTTGGTCGAGTATTTCAATGTTTTTTGTTTTTTCGCCCCAAAGATACAGAAGAAAACTTTTTATTCCATTCACTTCACTGCATCTGTTACCCCCTCCCCCCTCCTCTCCCTCCTCTCCCTCCCTATCCTCTCCCCTCCTCCCCCTATCTTCCTCCTCTCATCCCTCCCTCTTTTCTCCCTCTTCCCTACTTCCCTCCTCTCTCCTCCCTCTCCCTCTCACCCCTCTCCCCCGTTTTATATCTCAATGTTTACGTTTATTGAAGAGGAAAAAAAATCCATCTTCCCAGAGCGTTGAGGCGCGATCCAGTATTCCCCAAGTGTGAAGTTTGAGTATTTGTTTGGGTTGGTAGGTGTGTGTGTGTGTGTGTGTGTGTGTGTGTGTGTGTGTGTGCCCGTGTGTCCGGCTCAGAAGAGATTTACACCACAAGAACACAATGGTTCTCATTCCAACGCCTCTGTTGAATTGTTGAATACTACTTTTAGCACACACACACACACACACACACACACACACACATACACACACACACACACACACACACACACACACACACACCACAGTTCAATATCAAGCCTACAGTACAGTGTGCGTATTATTTTCTATACAATTCTACGGTCTTGCCCACCCACGTTTCACTAGCTATCGTGAATGTGTATTATTATTATTATATCAATGTAATAATATAATAATAATAATAATAATAATAATAATAATAATAATAATAATAATAATAATAATAATAATAATAATAATAATAATAATAATAATAATAATAATAATAATAATAATAATAATAATAATAATAATAATAATAATAATAATACAGTGTAGTAAAATTACATACCAAATACAGTAACATTGGGGAGTAGAAAATTATTTAACAAACCCTTTCACTACCTAAACGTGACATAACTTAAAACACCCAAGTTATCTAACAATCAGTCATCACACTCACCATCTGTCTCTGGTAATGGTGTTTATTCATCACTTCACTGTAGCATCACTATATTCATTCCTTTACATATTGAAATGATGACCAGGAGTGCTGGGCTATGTTTGGTGGGAGGAGGAGGGAGGGAGGGTGGGGAGTAGGAGGTAGGGGGTTGGGAAGTAGGGAGTGTGGGAGGGATTGGAGGGTGGGAGGCTCTACATTATGACCCTTGGCAGTTCACTGGAGCACCCCAATTAGCACGTTCTGAAGGCATGTGTGTGTGTGTGTGTGTGTGTGTGTGTGTGTGTGTGTGTGTGTGTGTGTGTGTGTGTGTGTGTGTGTGTGTGTGTGTGTGTGTGTGTGTGTGTGTGTGTGTGTGTGTGGCTGTGAAGCCTTTGTTGTCCTACTCATAATACAATACCTACACAAAGACAGGTACACACACACACACACACACAGAGCGGGGATAATCAAAACACAATTAGACACAAAACAAGAGATGATTAGTGGATTAGAAGATAAATCAAGAACAGGGAATTAGAATTAGACCAACAGAATATTAAATAGGGAGAGAACAGAGAGGGAAGAGAGAGACGGCAAATCACATTCCAAAATAAACTC